AGCAAATCTCCTTGCAGACCTCCTGTTCCTGAGAATTACTGCAGCCTGGGGGACAGAGTAAATCATAGAATCATAGAATGGTTTGGGTTGGAAGGGACCTTAAAGAATACGATGTATTGGCCTGTCCATGAATGGCCACAGCTCGAGGTCCTTTGGCCCGGCCAGACCCTGTGTGCCGAGTGTGACACAGCAGCAGTAAATCACAGCCCTCTCTCTGCAGGTGTGCACAAACACAGTTGATTTGGAGATGTTTTATCCCAACTCTATTAAATAACACAACAGGCCTCTTGCAGCCTCCCACCTTGTCTTCACTGACTCTCCACTCCCCTGTCTTTCAGCCCAGGATTTGCCATCGATTCACACAGAGCTGGTGTCTCAGCATCTTCTGCAGCCGCCTGCGTGCTGCGTGTGAGCTTGCTGCAAGCTGGTCTCCCTTGGGTTTCACCTCCAGAGAGCTGCAGCACCCAGAGCCAGTACCAGCGAGGTGTAGGGTGTGAATTTACAGTGGTGTGGCTAGGCGAGGGGGAGAGCACTTAATATTCAGCTCACAGAGGTATGAGATATTGTTGGAGTTCAGTATCACCAGCCCTGGAGAAGCGAGCTCCGGTTTGGGTAACTGGGTCTGTCACCTCTCGCCCATCAGAGGCTGTCAGTGAGAGGAGGCTGAAGAAGGGTTGCAGGAAAGTCATTTGCTTTTGTGGGGACAGATGAGGCATCAGATGCAGAGTTGAGTATTTTTTCCAGGAAACCTCATCCTTCCTGAATCTGTTCCCTGCTAAAACTCTTAAAAAGCCAATTCACAAACAGTTTCTACCTAAGAAATAATCACTTCTATAAAGATTTGAGCTTCTAATTTCCCACAATGATAATCCTTCACAAAAATGAAATAAGGATTTCTACAGAGTTTGTGGAGGCTCTTGGCACAATAACATCCAGCAATAAACTGCCCCATTAATGAAACAAAACTTCTGTTGGTGCTTGCCCAGAAAACTTTGCGCGAATCCTTGCCTTGCAGGTTACCGAAATTAGAGCTGATTTTGTAGCATAAAAGGACACCAAGTGCTTATTAAACCTGCTTCTGACTGAAGCTTAGGGTAACGTTTTCAGAGACTCTTTCCATCTATATTTAAAAGCACTAAAGTGCCAACGCTAAGCCGATGTTCCTGGTTTTTGGTTAATTACAGGTACTTTCCTGCCCTTTCCCCAGCAAAACTCAACCTATAACTGATTCTTGCCAAGCACAAGTTAAAAACATACATTTCTGTGGCCTCCCCAGAGGCTTAGCACACCTCCAGGAAGATTAACATGGATGAACAAAGAGTGTCTCTGCCTACGCTGTTGCCTCAGAGAAAGCTGGTTGGGCCTGGTCATGGACAGTGGGACAACGGTCATCACTGCAGGTTACAAATACCGGTGGCTTAAATAGCGTTGGCTGCTGAAGTATCAGCTGAAGAAGGCACAATATGAGGTACCACTGAGAGAGAGGAGAGTCCTATTAAACCAAACTCAGCTCTTCCCAAAAGCCACCAAAAACTCAGGTGAAAGAAAGCACCTGAGCAGAGAGGGAGACCAGCACTGAGACAAGGAGGAAGCATGATTCTCTTCTAATAAGTAGTAATAATAATAGTAATGTAATAGTAGTAACGTAATAATAGTAATGTAAATACTTTACTTCTCTAATGGCTAAAAAAGAGACCGCTGCCTCACTTATCAGCCCTGCCAGCAGATACCATTACAGAGATAGTTCTCTTTCTTCTGATTGCTTTGCAATTACAGGTAAAAATTGAAAGATAATTGGATTTTACACACACTCATCCCAGGGCTTTGGAACGTGATTATGGACGGTGATGGACATATCCCACGTGGGGAGTTACTGCATCAGGGACATGTGTGCAGCTCTTACGTGCGGCCAGTCACAATATGCATGTCTGGCACTGAGCTGCGTCATTTCCGTCCTCACTGGGAAATGGTGCAGGCTAGGCTGAAACCTGCCTGCAACCAGACAGGCTTTGAGAGCTTCTGTGTTAGTGCCTGAGATGAAAATAAGCTGTACCCACTGAAAGGCTCTGAACTATGAGAGAGCTGAGATAACTTAATAAAGATGTATTGCTTCATTTTAAACCCCTACACACACATGTCCATATAGTGCAACCAGCTCTCTTTTCCCGGTTCTGACCTGCACTCTTTGTTCAGTAGGTTCACAGGAACAAACTGGGAATCTGCCCTGCTGTTGTGGTTTAACCCCAGCCAGCAGCTAAGTTCCACACGGCTGCTTGCTCACTTCGCCCATGGTGGGTTGGGGGAAAGAATTTGAAGAGTAAAAGGGAGAAAACTCATGAAAACTACTATCATTGGGATAAAGACAGTTTAACAGGTAAAGCAGAAGCCACGCACAAGCCAAGCAAAGCAAAACAAGGAATTCATTCACCACTTCCCATCAGCTGGCAGGTGTTCAGCCATCCCCAGGAGATCAGAGCTCCACCACACCTAATGGTTCTCTGGGAAGATGAACACCATCACTCCAAACATTCCATCCTTCCTTTCCTCCCCCCAGCTTTATATGCTGAGCACGATGCCATATGGTGTGGAATGTCCCTGTGGTCAGTTGGGGTCAGCTGTCCCAGCTGTGTCCCCTCCCAACTCCTTGTGCACCCCCAGTCTACTCAGTGGTGGTGTGAGGAGCAGAAGAGGCCTTGACTCTGTGCAAGCACTGCTCAGCTGTAACTAAAACATCCCTGTCTTGTCAACAGTTTCCAGCGCAAATCCAAAACACAACCCCATACCAGCTACTCTGAAGAAAATTAACTCTATCCTGGCTAAATCCAGCACTCACATTCCTACAGTAGCTCTGTGGAGTGTCTGCCTGAACTTGCTTCACTGTAAAAAAACCCCAAAGTTTAAAAGTCCCAGCACCAGTGCCACTCTCGTAGAAATCAGGAGTACAACTTCCACTGCAAGTTCATGGCAGTTTACCTTGGGTTGGGTCACTTCAGCACCTCTCTAAGCACAGCCACCAGGAAGCTCTCTGGCTGTGTGGCAATTTTTCATCTGCCAGTCTAATAAAAAACCCCACAAATGTAAAGTACAGAGCGCCAGAGCTTGCGGCTGTGACGTGCCATTCACTGTCCCCCGCTGCAGCAGACTGCAGGAGGCTGGCAGACCACGCAGGTTCGGGCTCCAGCAGCGTCAGCCGTGGGCAGGGCTGAGAAGCTGGACATGTCACTGGAAAGGCTGACAGGTACGTGCTGGGTACGGGGGCTTGCTGGGAAAACACACGCTTTGGAGATATCCTGAGGCAGGACCCCACGGGCTGCTGCTGGGGTCGTACGGTCTGAACGGGCTTCATGATGCCAAGTGCACAACTCTGCCTGACAAACCAGAGTAGTGGCTGCGCTTCAGCAAATGGTAGCTGTTACCCAAATAAATTACAGCTCCTGGGAAGAAGAGGAACATTGCAGTTTCAGATTAAAAAAAAAAAAATTACTAGACAGCCAGTTTTGACAATAAATTGAGGCAACCTAAAAAAGAAAATCTGCTTATGTCAAGCCTTAGGAAGTGGGCAGTGAATTGCTTAAATGATAGTTCCACATTTCAGAAGTCTGGCTGTGCAAACCACTTCCCCTCTATGCAAGTCATATGTAGAAAAGACAAGTTTTTCTTCCATTTCCTTCCAAGTACAGAAAAGTTATCTGAAATTTCTGAGATTATATTTTTTTTTAAATGGCATAGCCATAAACCTACAAACTTTTGAGCAATGTAGACCTTCTTTTAAGAATGGCTCTTACCTTCAAAAATATATAGCCAGTAGTTCGATGATGAGAATGGTGATGGGTCTCATCAAGGCTGGGTGACACACATCCTTTCATCCACAAAACCTTTTATTACAAAAAGTAGAAATAAAAGAAACCAGCCTGGTGAGAATAAGGGCAGTGAATCTTCTAACAGCCGTCTCCAAGGCAGGGAGCGCACCGTATTAACCTGGTAAAAGCAGATTTCCTACACTGTTTAAGGAATGGTCTCCAGCTTAGCTTTTGCTCAAGCCCAGTTCATAATGAACAGGATCGTGCACGCAGCCAGTGCACACACACACACACTTTATATATATATAGATAGAGATAGATAGATATACACAGACACACATATATAAAATATGTATATATATATATATAAAAAGTAAAGGTGTATGGATATATAAGTACAATATATGTCAGTAGCAGAGTGAGTCTCCTTGCCCCCTTTACTAGGAACTTTTTTAGAAGGAAAGAATATAACCTAGAAACAACATTATCAGAAACTTTTATTTGTTGTGATTTGTAGCTTCACACAAATACTGAAATGAAGAGGAATGCATTTCAGCTTTCCAATCTGCAGGCAAAATACAGAAACACAGAAAAGATTTGTCAGTATTAACAACCTGAGAATGAATCAATAGATCTGCTATGGAAGGAAGATTAAGTATTTGGGGTTTATTTTTTTGTAAAAACTAATAATGTATTTCTTTTAAAATTACATTTTATTGTATATGTATGTGCAGATGAGTATTTTCTGTTGCTTCCCATTTTGCATTTAATACAAACATATGGCAAAGGCTTGTTTGCCTGCTAAAATGGGTAAGAATCAGACAATAGTTCTGAACTAAGAGCAACATCAAATATGTTTTGCAGTGAAACAGAATCTTTCCACTACCTGCAAGAGACACAAAGTCCTTCCCAAACAACAGAATCCTATGGCTGTATGTTGGGGAAGCCAATCTAATTCCTAAGGTTTATATTTACTAGGCTGTTGTAAAATCCTACTTTAACAGTTGGAGATCTATAGAAATCCATAGTTAGAGATAGCAGTAGGTAGATAGAGATCCATAGTTAATAATAATTTAAAGCAAACAAACTGCAAAAAATATTTTGTCTAACCAGGCTAGAAAAATCAAAACATGCCAATCAAATGAAACACACTGCAAACAGGACAAAACTTCTCTGTTCCTTACGTTCCGTTCTAGCTGGTCACTGCTTCTCTCTCTCTTTCATTGTATCAATGTAGCTCAGCACCTCTAGAGTACTTCTGCCAGCCAAACTCAGATACTCGGCTTCAAAGGGAAACGCTGCGGTTCCCGCAGGGCTGCCCGTGCCCGCAGGCTGCACTTTGGGCCCTGCAGCGGTGCCGGCGGTGCTGGGAGACGGGACCTGCCCTGGGCTGTGGGCAGAGGGGAGGGAGCTCCCACAGCTGCACACCCGCATGGTGCTACACTGGGTGGCAGCATCCACTTTCCTTACTTCTGTAATGGAGCGCTCAGTCTGCGCCCAAACGTCACACCTGGTACTGAGAGCTGTGTGCTCTCTTTTAAGGCCTTGGTGTAACGAGCCACCCTCAGATGGGGCAGCGTGAGTTTTATTTTCCTCCTCTGTGGCACATAAAATAGAGTCTTGCTCCTGAAGATTAATTGCTTCTTCTCTAGTCAAGCTACTGCTGGGCTGGAGAGGCACAGTTCTGGTGTGAGAGGTCCTGGGGGGCTCTGTGCTTGCTGAGGCTGAGAATAGGTTGGCATCATCTATCTTCAAGGACTGGTCATCCGGATATTCCCCCTTTTTGGCTGTGTCTTCCTCTTCGGACTGTTTGAACAGAATTGCGTGAATGCAACTGTTTACATAGTTCAATAACTAAGGACTATGCTGATGACTAACTAAGAACTTAGTTAATGAAATAAACAGGAAGGCCAGAACTGTCTGGTTTTGGTTGTTCGGGATTTTCTTCATTCTTTCTCCAAGGGTGTACCCCTGGCCTTATTGAGGAGAAGGTGGGTAAGGTGGACCTTCACTCTCACACAGAATTTATATTCTTACATTGTGGCATTTTTGTGTTCAAGAATGGCTGAAAACACAGTGTGTCAAATCCTCCTGCGTTACTGGCATGTAATGTAAGGCAGCTGTACATCAAGGAAGAGTGCAGAAGCTAGCTTAGCCTCCTGTGGAAGTCACGTTACTGTAACTCCACAAGGCCTGGTATTATCAAGAGACCAGACAATATGTCTGTTGAAACACAGGAAAATTCACAGCTAATCATTTCTTGTTTTCCTCACACATGAAGTTGCCTTGTACGAAACAAAACCATAAATGACTTCAGCTACATCCACCCTTAGATGCACTCAGGCATGCAGATATCAATCACACAAACCCCTGCAACCCAGAAAGGGGCACCACTCACCGTGTCAGGACTAGAGCTCAGGCAGCTTTCTGTCTGCCTTTGAGAGTAACTGTGAGACTGGCTGCCGAGTGATGACTCCACATCTGAAAAACGAGATGAAAAGGAAAGAAAGGGCTACCCACCAAAAATTCCCTAAGCATCCAGCTCTCAAGTACAGCACGTAGAATTAAACATTGCTACTTCTGATGCAGTTTTAAGACACTCTTTAAAGACTAAAGTATTAGCAAGATCACTAGTTAGTTCTTGGCAGTGGCCAATTCTCCTCTCAGGACAACACATCTTAATAGAAAGTGACCCAAAGCTTCAGCTATGCTGTTAATCAGCAGCCTGCACCAGCAGGAGAACAGTGCTCCTCAAAAGGAGGAAGGACTCTGCAGAGCAAGGGCAGGGAGAGAATGCAGCAAACTCCCTGCATGCATTGGCTGCCATGCAAGTTACAGGGCTTATGGCCATGTTGCTCTCCTGGAGGCCCTTGGGAGATTTTCTGCTCTGAAACACAGCAAGGACATGGGATCTCCCTGCTGACTCTCCTCACTCTGTCCATATATGGAATGACAGCATATGGTCTGATGGAATAGAATAAAGACTAGTAAAGACTGGACCACTAAAATGGCACGTGTCATACATCTAATGAAGATATTAATTAATACAGAAAACATGTCAGAGATTTTTTCAAATCAGCAGAGGTCTGCAGGAATAGAAAGAAAGAAAATTACTGGCATTTACTTGGCACATTTTACTACATGGTGATGTCAGTAAACTTGATTTGTGGTGTTCAGATAAATACTCTTGACCTCCCTCGTGGATTGATTTGGGTTTTTTTAGTAGTTATCCCTTCTTTCAGAGATGGCTCTTCAGTTTGGGGACAACTTTGGAGGAAATGGGACAATGAAAAATATTTGTGTAATACTCACCAGAGAGGAGTTAACCTGAATTTATCTCTTCAAGGAAAGCAAATACAGATCATTCTTAGTTACCTGGTAATGCTAATCTTCTTCACACAGTGCTGCGTGAATCAAAAATACAAGCGCTCATCCAATGTAACATCCTAAAAAGATCACAGCACCTCTCCCTGGCTTTAAAAGTGACTGTTTCAGTTTCACATGTAGAGAAAAACATGATTTTTAAATTAATAATGTATAAATTATACTAACCCTTCTCCATCTTGTTAAGATTTGAACTCATTCCCAGCTTGCACTTTTTCTCTTGTGCTGTTGTGAACTTTTAAAAATAATTAAGTGTTAATAGTGAGGGCTCAGCTAGATCAGCACCTCCGGTTACGTGAGGAACATTCAGTTTCTGTGTTACATAAAGGAGTCACTGCACTGTACCACAAATTATTTTAAGATGTAGAAAACCCCTGGGCAATACGGTATGTACCTGAGTGACTTCTATAGGCAAAATATGTAAAAGATCCTTTATATGTTTACTGGCATTAAGCTCCTTTATAATACTGAAGTGTCCTGCATATTGTGGCTGGGCAGTGGCTGCAGAATCTGATCCTAAGGGTTAAGGGTAACTTACACAACGCATTTCAGGCCTCAGCTTAGATGTGAATCAAACCATGTATAGTACGGACCTGAAAGGACTACCTGAACCACTTAAGAAGCTGTTCTTTCTGGATTCCTTGTGTAAACCATGACAGAAAACAAGCTTCCACAGAAGATAATTCAGTGATGCTAAATTAAGTTTCTAACTGTTGTGGACATTCCTTCTCCATCTAATACGAATGTTGCAAACAATAGATGTGACAAAAAAATTATGTCTCTTTAAAAAGCTACCTCTTCAAATCCAAAGAGCAGGTTCTGTCTCCAGGCTGATTCTTTCACAAACTCATCATCACTGAGAGATGCAAACACAGAGTTCTCTGGTAAGTGATTTCCTCTCCTGTACTTTTATTTTCTTTCTGAATTAAAGCCATTACTGGTGACTTTTTTCTCTTAAATTTTTATTTTGTCTTCAGTAACCATGAAATGTTTACTACTATTGAGATCATTGAACTTATTTCTAAGCCTGAGATTTAACACCAAGAATCTTTGTAAAATTCAAGGTGTTATGGATCATAACCTTTGATACAACCATCTTTTGTAAAACATGGGGCACTCACATATACTAACTTTACCCCATGGAAGACACTAACTTCCTAGTCAGTGGAAGGAGACAGGGTCTTTTAGAGGGTAAGTCAGAACAACAGCTTAACTTCAGGGGCTCAAAACTGCCCCATGAAGCAGCCCTTCTCTATATTTATTATAGGCAGATGAACAATGTTACGTAGGGCTTACATGTGCATAAGTTTATTCACACTATTCACTACTATTTTCACTAGAAAAACTTGGGTCCTCAGTAATACTGTTTAGAATTTTGCCTTCATGTCCTCTTAGCAGGATTTCTCCAATTCAGCAAGGTCTTTACAGTTATCATGAGTTAATAGAGTGATAATTTCTACGGCACTCACCTGTTTTTTCTTGAAAAGTTCTGTACATTCTCCTTTAAATTAATCTGCTGATCATGGTGATAAGCAAATGTCTCTAAAATAAAAAAGTAAATCTTGATTTTAAAATGCAACAGCATAAATGCAATTTGAAAATAAATGTTTCTGTCAACTTTTAAAAAGAATTCAAATAATTGGATTTAAAATTAAATTACTGCATTCTGAAGATCTATGACATTTTCGGTAAGGGAAGACACATCTCTGGTTATGAAAACATACCTCTTTAAAAGGAGAATAAAAGTCAGAATATATGTCCTTAAAATATTGATACTCACCACTATTTTCAAGGTTTGCAGGTTTTTCTTTGTTTTCAGAAGGTATGAAGTAGTGCTGTCCCTCATGACAGTCCTGCACGTGGGTTTTATGAAGTCCACTGGTTTTCTTGTAGTCTGCACTTGAGGCATTGTTACTTTTAAATAGAAGCTGTTCCGGAGCTGTGAAAATGCCTTCAAGGTGTCTGTCTGTAGAACCTTTTTCTGCATAGATTGCAGGATGAGCCTCTCTAGTATCATAAGGATAATTTCTGTTGGTAATTTGATTTCTATCATCAGGATCAATGAAAAAAATGGCAGTATGGCTTTGGTTAACAAAAGGATTAAAATGCTTTGTGAAAAGACCATTATGGATTGGTTGGCTCGCATCTTCAAACAGTGCCAGGAAGGAACAATCACTTCCATCTTGGGGAGCTTTCAGTTCTGCAGTTTCTTTCACAACATCAAACAATGGTTCTTTTATTCCTTCAGTGTTTTCTGATTCATTATTGGTCATTATCACTGGATTTTTCCTGGCAGAATTCATATAGTACAGCCTGGGCACAGGGGGTGGAGAGCGGAGTAGAAAGGAAAAATCAGTTTGCTCAGTACATAAATAAGCAAAATACTAACTGCTAACACAACCAATTGTGACAACTTGATGATAAAATTCTCAAAGACTTTACTGCTCATAACACTTGCTTTTGTCCAAATGTATATTATTCCAACTGGAAGTGTCCTGTATCTTATTTCTACTTTATAGTAAGGCTGATTTAAAAGGGGTTCTGTTTCATGACGTCTCCAGACACACCAAGACATGGAGCACATCCTCCAGAGTAAGGAACTGTGATTTATAAAATCAGCCACAGTATGTCACTGCTGCTCCACCAGCTGACCAAAAGCAGCTACTTTGGGGGGGGGGGA